AACATACATTTAGCGGAACTGGGTGGATTTCCACCTTTGGTCTTGAGTCGAAGTGCATAGGTGATATCTGAGAATGCACCTTTTCCTACTGGTTGCTACAAAATTGAAAGTTTGATGGTTATCGAAAACGATACGCAGAGGCCACTAGTGAAAAGGAAAGAAAGAAAGAAAGCAAAAACCAACCCTTCCTTCTATCAGAATCCATTGTAGGTTTTCTGGACCATCGGGTGAATTGTAGCGAACTAACGGTCTTTCGTAAAGTATCGAATCGTCACCGGGTACCAACGATTGGTATACTGCAAATCCTCCGTTGATTGCTATGTTTGAATGGAGATTTTATTACACATTATTCAGATAGACCAGATTGATGAACATAAAGTACATAAAGTGTACTCACGAAATTCGGTGAAGTAATGACGACCGATGATACAATTTCCATCAAATTGGAAATTATTACGATCATTTATCATGAATGACTCAACGTAGGCTGTAATATTATGTGAAGGAGGTATGATTGTAATAATTGTTTATACGAATCGTGAGCAACTAACGTGAAATAATTACTGGTATTCCAAAATGTGGTGCCATTGGGATAAGCGGCACAGGTCCAATTTGAGATACCGGCGACGTCTAAAGCAAATTTGAATACATTATGTGCAGGAACCGCAATTTCATTAGGAATTTTGAGATTTGGCAGTTCTGTATACAGTATTAGTTTCATGGACAGTATCAGTATTCAGTGTTTCGTCATTGCATATTTCGACGGAAAAACAAAACCAAGGGTAATCACCAGTAATAACTCCAATCTTATCATTTACGCATTTTTTCTCATGTTTTTTGTTCTTTGCAATGGAAGTTACACCCGAGGGCGAAAATATCACAAATGAAATCCCCACCCATAATAGAAAGAATAAGAAATTTTTGGTCATTGTTTTTATCTTCAGGCAGATTCAGGCGAGAAATATGTTTCTTTCCAAGGGACGGCCTTTGGTAACTTGAGACGAAAACGAAGGATTTTATAAAGATTTCACACCATCTCATTGAGCATTTGGTTAATCGTTAAACAATGTTGTGTTTGTCTTAAATTTTTTCCGAATTCCATAGTTGTTCGTGGTGCGATTTTTGTATAATCACATTTGCCAACAATACTTTATTATTTGTCAAGTAGGCAGTTATTCAACGATGAATTTACTCGAATGAGAATAACCATTATGAATCCGCACCTTCCATAACGATACTACATCAGTATTACCATTCCCAATTCTGGTTATATTTGCATGATGCAATATATGCAGCAAGGGGCCGTCCATAATTTACGTTAGACAAGTGTTCTCTAATAGGATCGTACATGCATGCATACATACTTATGCCGGCAAAAAAATAGAAAATTCATTGCTTACCTCCATGCGCTAACTTATCGATAATTCCTAGACTATTATAATTAATAGGATTTTAAGGTTAATGACTCAATAAAGCACTTGTCATCGATATTCGTTGATAATGGAATGATCCTGTGCGACACCTAGATCAAACAATGCAATGAAATATGTTTGATAATTATAAAAGCTTTCTAGAGGAAAATTTATTAATAACGTGCCGACATCAGTGCAGTAACCGGAAAATACAGTATATTAAGGTTGTTACCATTGACGGGGAGGATTCAGTTCGGGGCTAATGAAAATTTATTGTCTGGTAATGATTTTACACAAAGAATTTGATGCAATAAATAACAGATTTTCCGCGGCGAAGATGATCGCGATAACGATAACGCGGAATTAGATGATGTTTCCAAAGTTTGGAATTATCAACTAGAAAATGATAATGATGTTGGCAATGACGTGGATTTAGCGATCAACCGTTGGACATAATAGGACAACTTGAGAATAAAGTAACTATTCGTAGTGACGCAATTACGAGATTCGAGGATTTTATAATTGCAAGGTATTATTGTAATTATTCTGCAAAACATTAAAAGTATTCTCAAAATAATTCAAATAAGGTTAATAGAGTTCAAACCTCAAATAGTAAACTCTGATCGCGTTACTCGAATGCTCAATATACTGTTAGCCTGGTAAAAGTCACGGGGTATAGTCGCGTACCGTGATCATCGTGTCGCGTACCCTGGAAATTTAGGATAGCATTAGTAATTAACATAGAAAAATGTAGTCATAGAGGCTTATATAACTTACCCATAGTTTATTTTAGCCCCGATAGTCTAGCCTTATCAATTTATGTATCAATAGTATAGCTGTAGGATTAATAATTAATAAGCAGGTGGATAAATAAATAGCAGTAGTGCAAAAGAAAGAGAGGGTACACACAAAGTAAATTAAAAAAAAAGAATATAAAAGAGAAACGATAGCTACTTTGAGTTGCCATAAAGAGAAAGTAATAATTAATAACTTACCTTTTTGAGTACACACTGTTTTAAGAAGGATAATTGCCACTAAAAGAATATAGCCCGGGGTATCAAGAAGAAAACGAGTGTCAGGAAAGAAAAGAAGAGAAGTTAATTAGTACTGCCCGGCCAAGTCAATTATACATGCCTCAACTTACCTTTAGTGACATAAACCTGAAACCGGTGAAGCAACTGACTTGCCGTTTTCTGGCCCAACAATTTGGTGGTGACTGTGAGATCTGACGTCTCGTTACCCCCTTCCCTCTGATAAAATTGTGCAGATTAAAATTTGTTAATTTCAGGAAAGAAGCTGCAAGAGAAGTGCGAATAGGAAAAGACATGAAATAAAGAAGCATACTGGTTGGATAAGAGCTATTGTTATTTCTACTATTTCGTTGCTCCCTGAAAAGAGAAGAAAAGAAAGAAAATAGCAATGGAAGAAAAAAGGTTAGAGGAAACCGAACTCAACGAATTCCACAAAACAGAACCAATGGATAATACCAGAGAAAGTTTCTTGCAAGATGATGTCACGTTTAGGCCCAGGTTCTGGAAAGAAATCACACGAGTATTTAAGAAGATCAACTAGAAGGAAGTGGGTGAAAATAACTTGGTAAAGGTACCGAAGTTTCATAGAGAAGAGGAAGAAGATCCGTTCGAATGGCTTGAAAAGTACGAAAGTGCTGCCGATGCAAATAATTGGGTATTGAAAAGAAGGATACAGATTGCTGCGGGGTATCTCAAAGATGAGGCTGCAGATTGGTACCATGATCATAAAAGACTAATCAGGAATTGGAATAACAATGACGATCGAGATCAAAGCTTCGTCCCTCTATTCCTGAAAACCTTTGCTACAGAAGAATTAAAGTAGCAATGGTACGAGGACCTCACGTTAATAGAATAAAAAGATGATGAGAAAGTAAAAACGTATGCTGTGAGATTCCAAAGGTTATTGAGGAAAGTGAATCCCAACAACATGTTCCTTCAAAATTATATTGTTCGTTTTTTTACCAGAGGTCTTAAGGGCAAAATAGTGTTGCTGCTATATATCATTGGATCAAGAGATCTGAAGGATGCCATCAAAACTGTTAAAGAAATTGAAATAGGAAAGCAGTACAAGAAAAGAGTGAAGAAAAAGTTCGAGAAAGGAGATAATAAGCTGGAAAAGAATATAGAAGCATTGATGCAGCAAATGCATCATCTTGTCAGTGTCATCACAACACAGGCCGAGGGTAACAGTGCTAAACAAAAACCACAAACAAATGAGTGTTACGCCTGTGAAGAAAAAGTGTATTTTGCACAAGATTGCCCATTGACGTGACGACTTATTATGTCGACCGCTGGACTTAGTACTGGATGATCAACTGAAGCCTGTTTCAGAGAAGTAGTAGAGGTCTACCAGGTATCAGACAAAGAAAAAGAAACGTCATATACCAGTCGACCCCAAAAACCTCAACCAAGAAGTAAATCAATATGGGAAGGTCAGTTACGATCCCAAAAAAAACCAGAAGAAAAGGATAAAGATAAAGCAAAAATAGAAGTACCTCTTATAACACAAGCAGGGCCACAAGTACAATCTGTTATACAAAAAGTTCCGACGGTGCAGCCTGTAGTTCAGATAACAACCAACATCAATGGAAGACGAAGATGAGATGATGGAAGAAGCAACACCCGTGACGTCAACCTCATCATTATCGTCAAAACCAAAGAGACCTAGGTGGAAGAAGGGCCCATCACAAATAAAGTCAGCATCTAAATATAACATCATAGAAGACTTATTTAATACATCCGCAAATGTTACCATATTAAAAAGACCTTACGTAGAGCAAGAAGTTAATTATGTTAAAGTCGAAAGTAGAACGAACGCCACAAGGTATAAAGTAAAAATTAAGGGAATACCTGTGATAGCTATTGCTGACACAGGAGCTGCTGCAAGCTTCATATCCAAGAGGCTGATGGATCGATTGGGCTTGAATATAGAAGGAAAATCAATAATGTCAATTATCTCAATCACTGGTAATAAAATGAGGGCGTTGGGATGAATCAACAATTTGGAAATCATCATTTGTAATATCCCTATCCCTTGCCTGTTGCAAATAATCGACTCTGATGAAGAAACCTTATTGCTAGGAAGAGATTGGTTAGAACGGATACAAGCGAGTATCTGCTTTAACAAAAAAACAATTACGTTCCAGTATAATGATTGGATCATAAAAATTTCAATAATGAGAGACAAAGATAAGGATCGGGTTAATCAGAAGAGAAGTGATGATAGAAAGAAAGGTGGTAATGATGAAATAAATAGTGGAGACGAGGAAAATGAATTGTTGGATGTGTTGCAATATAAGGATAAAGAATTAGAAGAGGCTGAAGGGTACTTTACGGAAGAAATTGTTAGTAAAGGAGAATCACCAGAATCATCATGTCATGAAACAAACCCAGCAACATATTTGGTGCAGGCCGAGAAGTATGCTAATGATGATAACACTCAGCGTAAGCAGAATATAAAGGATCAAGATGAAATAATAGAATTGATATCTAAAGGTATGGAAAATAAGAATAAATGGAATCATTTAAATATGGTGACTCGAATTGAGGAGCAATCTGATGATGAGAATGTCGAAAACAAACCTGACTGTCCTGCATTCCTAGTACAATTAAAAGAACTATCAATAAAAGATGATGAGCAACGAGAGGAGACCATCGAGGAAAGAATAAACAAAATTGGTATCCAGGAAGAAATGGATCAGGAACAATAGGAAGAAGCAAAAGCATATCTAAAACGGAAAAGCGATGTTTTTGTAAAATTGATCCAGGAATTGGAATGCACTGATAAAGCTTTCCATAAGATTAGCATTGGTAATGCTAGACTGATAAAGCAAGCCACTTACCAAATGGCACCGAGTATTAGGAATTTTGTAAAACATAAGCTTACTCAATTAAAGAAAAAAGATTTGATCAACGAATCATGTAGCCTTTAATCTTTGCCAATTGTGGTTGTGCCAAAGAAAAGAGAAAAATTGCAATTATGTGTTGATTACCAGAAGTTGAATGCTATTACTAAGAAAGACGCATACTCACTATTATGAGTAGATGATCTTTTAGAGCTGTTTGTGAAAGCAAAATGGTTTAGTACACTAGACTTAATAAGTGGATATTTGAAGATCACTGTGAAAAAGGAAGATCAGGAAAAGACAGCTTTTGTAACACCGATAGGGATGTATGAGTTTAACATCATGCCCTTTGGGTTATGTAATACCCCGGCAACGTTTCAATGGTTAATGGACCAGCTGTTAATGAACTACATTGGAAAATTTATAGCAGTATATTTAGATGATGTAATCGTTTTCTCTGACGCATTTAGAGATCACTGTGATCATTTAAGTTTAGTTTTTGTGGTATTTCGAGATGCAGGATTAAAGTTAAACCTGGATAAATGCGTTTTCTTTAAGCAAGAAATCAGACTTTTGAACCATATCATTGATAGCGAAGGGATCAAGCTAGATAATATTAAGGTGAAAAAAATTAGAAATT